CTGGACGAGAATACTTTTTGGGGGACAAGACTTTGTGAAATTCAAATAAAACATGAGGTCAACTAATTCGATTGTGGGAAAATTCAAGAATAAACGAACTAAGGGGAATAGAGTTCTTAAAATAGGATTCTAGACTTTCATTGCTTCACCCTCGAGATCTGATACAGCAGACATGCCACGCAAGACTTATTTAACACACCTTGTGGTCATACATTATCCAGTTAAGTAATTTATATTGAGTTCGGTATGATGGGAACCAGCTTTAAGTTGCACGTTCGCCGTTGTGTCATAAATCATGCACCTGCCTCAAACAAGTGATGCAAATTGGCTTAATTCTAAAGCAGCACACGAGGCTGTAGAATGCGACATTGAGTCGAATAGACGACATCGGCAAGTCGAGATGCACATCAAGAGAATGTCAGGAGAAAGTTGGGAGGCTTGGCTGTCTGATTGTTTGAATGCGTGTATGTGTCAATGTGTGATTGTGTGATTGTGTATGTACGTGAATGTGTGAATCTATGCTTGTGTGAATATGTCAATGTCTGAATGTATAAATGTGTGAATGTGTGAATGCCTAAATGTGTGAATGGATGAATGTGTGAATGGATGAATGTGTGATTGTTTGAATGTGTGAATGCGTGTACGTGTGCATGAGGGAATATTCAATACAGGCGTATCAAGTGAAGTGGAAGCGAGGCAACAGCCTTGCATGTGAAGAAGTGGGCCTAAATCCGAGTGGGACATTGATGGGCGTCATTTAGGGCTATTTAGGCTTGGCTTGGCCTTGCCCGGTCCGGTCCGGTCCGGTATTGTCCGACCCAAAATCCAAACCTTGTGGGGCTAGATCATGCTTTATGTGCACTTGAGCGCAAACGCGAAGGCCAGCTTCTCAGTCTGCTTGGACGAATAGGCATCGCAGAGGGTGAGACGAAGACGGGAAGAGGGCGCAACGAAGCCAGTCTGACCGAGAGGCGTCTGGCGTACGCGAATTGGTCATGTGAGCGAGGCGGATGTGTGAATCACCCTCATCGCTGCTGGGTGGATGGTACAAATTGCCTTAGACTCATCTCGATCGTTGTCGCCAGCCTCAATATGGCCTCAAAAAGGCGTACTGACATTGACAAGCCTCATCTCGCTTAGTCATTCCGCGGGAGTCGGTGGGTTAACATGTGATCTTCACATGTGCAAATCGCCTTAGAACATGCTCACAGAGCTGGTTAAGAATGATGAGGTGAAGAATTAACTGTTGAATTTGTCTATAACGTTGTGAATAAACCACACGATTCCAAGGAAATTCAATTGGCATTTCCTCCTGAATGGGAATTATCAATAGTTCATTATGCGAGTTAAGGTTAATACAGTCATCATCCAAGTTATGAAAATGATAAAATATGAATATCAAATCTGTTTATCGTTTTCACC